TGTAACTGTATTTAGGGCTGTGAGTTTGCAAATCACTCTTAGTCTGTGAGTGCAACAGTCACAAGTAGTGAATCTAAAAATAGTATTGTATGTATTGTACGCATTGTATTAGTGATATTATTATACATTTGGTTTACAAAGTTTTTCAAAGTACTTGCACTGAAAATGTGCAGACATTATTGTTTCAAACCAGTGATTTAAAGCAGTACTTTCTCAGTGCTTCACAGCTTCGATTTAATAAATCAATAACTTCTCTCTCATTCGGCCCTCTACTCCTTTCTTTTCTTCTGCTTTTGTTTTCCTGTTCAGTCTGACCCTATTTCACTCAAAGTGAAGTAACTGCACTACTAAAACACAGAAGAAAAAATAAAAACCAGAAAATCAAAAGCTAGCCAGCATATTGTTACTACTGTATGCTCCATCTGCCCATGACCCACTTTTCTCTCCTTGCCTTTGGCATGAGAGGCGTTAACACAGAAAGCAGTAGGAAAGCTAGTTCCTTAGAATAAGGACATTGGCAGTAAAGGCAGTGGAAGCACTAAGGTAGGATGAGAGTGCGGTGAATACACACTATGGAGCGGTGCACCGTTAAAGGAGAGCACCCACTAGAGCTCTTATCAAGGGTTACAATGCAGGTGTCATGTCGTCCTTGAGAGGCTGGATTTGGCAGGATTCATCTACATCTCCTCTTAACAGAGTGCACTATTGTGTGCATTAATGTATTTCAACTGAAATCCTCCTCTTTGATGGGCTCTAAAAGCATAATGCAAGCATAAGGACAGTTTTTCACTCAAACACTGCATAAATGCAACAGAATTATTATATAAACTTACTTGGTATTGTCACACATGTCCAACATTAAGGTATCGGATATCATTTCCTAAGTAAGTTTTAGGTTATTTTGTTTGGCTTTGCAACTTTTAATTCAACTTCTGGTCTTTCGCTATTATTGGACAGTTCACACTCTTGACAAATACAGGAAATAAAGGGGGAAGGGGTGTTATATGATTGTGGTTATGATGCATTCGGTCTCAACCACTGAGCTACTGCCAGGTAACCAGTTTACCAGTTTACCATGTGAGAGCAACATGTGTAGATCCGAAAACCATTACCAGATAAAGATAAAGACACAGATAATGATGCAGTCACTCTACATCACTCTTTGGATCACGAACCACATCAATAACAGAGATTCATCTGAACCGGGTTGGCAATATTTTAAGGAACTTCGGTGTTCTGCATGTCATACTTCTCTCTTTTTCTCTCTATCTCTCTCTCTCTGTCTCTCCACCATGTTTCCTTTCAGGTTCCCTATCTAACAAAAGGCAAAAGCAGCTAAAATGTCCATCTTTCCATTTGTTAATTAACACTGCCACAAAGCATTATCTAAATTTAGTCCTCATTTGACTGTTGAATAGTGTCTAAAGCCACTTCCCCCCACACCTTTTCAATGTCAGGATTGGGTGGCCTAAATCTAACCATGTTAGTAACCTATTGAAAACGACATTCACACTTGTGTGAGACATGTGAGAAATTAGGTAGATTTGAAACATCTCTCTCAATCTCTCCTTTTTAGTCCTTCACACAACTTGAGTGTATGACCAAGTACAAAACCATAGATATTGTCAAGGAGAGTCCAAAAGTGATGCCGTTATCCCATTTGAATGATTATCACGCCCTGCTCCTCCCTACAACAGCAGGTTGTGAGCATATACACCTTTGTCTGCAGACGTGGTTGGACAGCATGACATGAGAACTAGTGTGTGTAGCACATCCAAACCGTTAGATAACACATTGGAGTTAAAAGGTTAGTTCACATTTTTGAAAGTGGAGTTCTTATACTCACAGTATATTACCTATAGTAGATGGCAGTCAAGAACTGGTGCTGAAGCTACTGGAAATGTCTGACAGCAAGGTAAAGCAGTGAAAATATTCCACATATAGCGTAAACTTAAACAGATTTTTTTAGGTAGCTCAAATACATTTTGCTGTTGGCCCTGTCCACAGCAGTGCATTGTTTAGCTTCCATGTCGGTTCTCCTGCCTGCTTTTCCAATCTGGGGGTGTGCCCACTGCCATTTACTGTAGTAATACACTGACTATGGATAACTACCTCAAAGAACGCCACTTAAAAAAATCCAAACCAACCCTTTAACCCTGTAAAGCCCAAACCAT